TGCAACCCGACCAAGCACGCCGGGATGTAGCCGGAGAAGGCGGAGAAGATAAAAATAAGAACTATCGCGAGGTATGGATCTGGTACGAGCCGAGCGATCTAATTGTCATGTCTTCGCATATTTGGAGACGAGCTCCGAAGGAGATATATGTACCACAGGGGAAAGCGTTTTAAGGAAGATACCGCAGTTAAGAATATTGAGAATATACCGAAGATTGAAAGCTACCCTGTGATTCATGTTGCTTGTAGTAATGCCCGTAATGGCTTTGTTCAAGGAGATGCAGTAATGGAACTGGACCTACTTCCAGGCGAATCCAGGAGCTGTTGGAAAACCCTGCCCCTTCGTAGTGATTTAAGCAGGCCAAGGTCTCTGGATAAGTCAATAACGATCGCGCAAACTTGTTGTTTGATACTGGTGCCCAGATACCTATTCGGACATAGCCTTTGCTGGTACGGTAGGTCTCCGGGTTGAAAAAACATGCAAGGCAAGAATGTGTCGGTATTGAGGAATCAAACATACCACAGAAGGGCGCACTCGTATCAAGATCACCCTGAACGGAAACATGGTGTATACTCTTGGGGTATGGCCGAGCCGATGTAAGGACAAGATGCATTTTTGGGGATGAACTTTATGGTCCCTGCTAGTATCCTCTTGAACCGGGGGGTTGGAGCACTCTGTCTTCCAGATGAAGTTCGTATACAACTGGCCGGCCGACGAACGCTTTACGGTGGCAGAGTGACCGACGTAAAGAGGGGCCAAATGCGAAATTACCTGTTGAAGAGTATGTGGAAGTACCCCTGAATGGATCAACCTCGGAGCAGGGTGTGCTAAGGGTGACAAGAGGAGAACGGTGGGTCACTACGATGATCTGAAGGGTAGACCGACGTCAATTCTTAAAGGTGAACAATGTCAGCACACAGTTTAAAGGCTACATGACGTCACCAGGGTTGACTTGTTGTGAGCGAAGGATCAAATATCGGTATTTGACATGTTGTTAGCAAAGGACTGACATGTTGTTAGTGAAGGATCATAAACCGAGGACATTAGGGAGTTCGTCACTTTGGTCTCTTGAATGTACGCTGAGTAGTGGAATTTGGCATACGAAGCTTCCACCGACCAGAACGGCTACCAGTTGGAACCGATGGAGGAAGACGAGGTGCCATTAGTGAAACAAATCCAGTATGATACCCCATAGAAATATTCTACAGCGACCGAATAGGATCACCCCGGTGATGAACGCTTCTCCCTTACAGCTGCGAGTAGAGGAATTACCAACACGCGAGGAAAAGACCTCCGTCAACCAACCTCTAGAAGCCGCCGGCCCTCAGCCGATAGAAGCCACATTTACTCAGTCTATGGAAGCCAGCGTCTTTGAAATAAGAACAAAACACGAGGGAATAGCACAAGACGATGACCAGGTGTACAGTTTCGAGAGCGGAGAACTCTATGCCGAAGAAACCAGTCAAGGATGGGCAGTAATACCAGAGGTAGACCCCTAAACCGAAGGCATCGAGTTGAAGGACATACAGATCCCTGATTTGGATGGGAACACGCCCGAAGAAGTGTACTGATTGAGGCAAATCATATGGAAGAAGCGACATCTGCTTACAGGAAAAGGCAACACCTTGTCATCAGCCGCTCGTGGTGCTATATTCGACATCCACGTGAGAAATGCGAGACCATTTGCACAACGCGTGCGAGAGGTAGCTTCTCAGCTGAAAGAAAGAAAAAAAAGCTGGCCCACCTGATCAAGGGTCTACTGTCAGCGAAGATTTTTTTAACCGTCTACCTCGCCGTGGCCAGCCCAAAAGTGATCATCTTAAAGAAAAATGAGGTAGACATCGGGTTATGCATTGACTACCTGGTGGTAAACGACTTGACTCAACTCATGGTCTACCCCGTGCTGCTGACTAACGAGATACTCGAAGACTTGAATAGTGCGTTGTGGTACTCCTCTCTCGATATGGCAAGTGATTTATAGGTAGTCAGCATGACTGGGAGGGCAAGACCGATTTTAGCTTTTGTCACACCGCTAGGACTGTTCAAATGGATCCGGATGACATTTGGACTCAAGTATGCACAACAGATGTATCAGAAGCTTCTGGACAACGCGTTATACGGGTTCTTACGTACACCTCTAGGGACCAGAGTGGTTGCGACAAAATATTTGTTAGTGTCGGGGGAACCAGACACAGAGCCAGGCCCCTCAATATTGGATTGTCGGTCGTACATAGACGACATACTTATACCCGCTCAATCTTGGGACGCGTTATGCGACAAGGTGGAAAAGTCGTTGGACGTATGCGACTACTAGAAGATGTCAATTAGTGCAGACAAGAGTTTGTGAGGATGTAGAAGAGTCGACTACCTCGACCACAGTGTATCTAGAGAAACATTGGGAGCCCACCCTAGGGACCTCCAAGCACTAGTCGACCTACCTCTACCAACAACTCTCAAGGCCATGCAGTCGTATCTCGATAGTCTAAATTACTACCGCAGGGTTATTAAGGATTATGCTATCTTTACGTCTATTCTATACGAGTTGATATAGGTGGACTTCCACGCGTGGCAATGCAAATTAAGAGCTGGTCACCACTCAGTGACCACGGGTGAAGACGAAGAGAAATGGTCTCGAGTTCAAGTGGCTTTTGCTATGCTCAAGAACAAGATAGCCACAGCGCCTTTTTTGCGGCATTTTGACCCGTCAAAAGAAGCGGTGATTATTGTCTACGCGAGCGTGTGGGTCATCTCGGCGTTGTTGATGCACGACTATAATGGTCTTTTAATGACAGTGACCTTCACTATCCTGACACTCAAAGTCAACGGGTTAAATTAGAGTACTGCTAAGATAGAAGTGTTGGCGTTGTTACGGATATTGGATACCTATTTTACGATTTTTGTCACCCGACCTCTCAAAATATGAACGAGATACTCGACGATGGCCAAGTTGTTCAGAATTTCGGGAGTGCAGCCGCTCTCTAGTCTCACTTGACATTAGAAATGTTGAAGTGCAAGAAAGGCGAAGACCAGGTGCCTAGGGACGTTAGCAACCCGTATTACCCCCTCGAGAGGGTAGACTTGATCCAATCGGCTATTGCACCCAACAAACAGGCAAAGCAGAAGAGTGACCTACCTACGCCTGCGGTGAAAATAGACGAGGAGCTACATGTAATGAGCTTTAATTGGTGGGCTTGTGTAAAATAAGGAGGTGGAGCTTGTAGTGCCGTCGTACGGAGCCTGCTTGCGTGTTCAGTAGAAAGCGCTGCCTCTATATATCTCAATAAATACACGGTGAATGAGGCCGAATATGAAGTCAAGTTGCTGGGTTTCGAGTCGTTAGGACCTTTGGAACGACGGCGACTAATCATCTGCGGAGACTCCAATCCAGTTTTTCGACAAATGCGTGGAGAAATCGAGTGCAAGGCGTCAGGGATGTATTCATAGCGTGCAAGAGCTTTGAGCAAGCTTCATTCGTAGAATTCCCACGAGATACTCCCCGTAAAGCGCGATTGGAAATAGTGCAAAGCAGATGGCTAGTGAAGCAATGCACAGAAAAGGAGGTGTCGAGTCAGTACCGAGATAAGAGTGGACAGGGTTGTAAATGATCAACCGACTGCCAGAGCTGTTAGTCCTCAAAGATGAGGATCGGACGGTTAGAGTATACGCGGTGACCTGATAAAAGCCACGTATCAGAATATCCGGAGAAACAATGAAAGGAGATGCGATACAACAGCTGCGAGTGAAGCGTATTTAAAAGGATCAAGGGGAGAGATCTGGGTTATGGATATGAAGGCTTATTTGAAAGGGGACCTAGGCGGCCTATCGGCAGAATTGGCACATTCATGCAGCAAAATAAGCAAAGATTATGAAATCAGCAAAGAAGGATTACTGGCATACTGTCCTGTCCACAAGTCCGACGAGGGCGACCGAGAAGTGACCGCTCGACAAGTGATCCCCCAATCCCTCTGGACCGAAGTGTTACATCACTACCATGCAAGCCTACCGGGAGTTCTTCAAGGGGTCGGTCGCACCTACTATCGATTTCGCCGGTATTTACATTGAAGAAACTTGTTTCGAAGTGTACAGCGATATGTGGCATTATGTGTGGTCTGCGATACGGGATAAGGGGGGCCTACCCTTCAAGTGACAACCCCAGGCAACGCCGAGGCGACAGAACCATTTAAATCTTAGGAATGGACCATATCCCCTCGTTGCCAAAGTAACATGAGGAAGTCACTACATTATTGATTCGGGCTGACTTATTCACGAGGTGCGTGATGGCCAAGGAAAGCGCTTCGCAAACTGCTCCGACGGTAGCCAAAGGGTATGAAAATGTGTTTTCGGCGTTTTGGGGCCAGCGAGTTGATCCGCCATGACCGGCAACCCTGTTTATGTCGGACTTCTTTTGAGCGTTCAATGGCATGGTGGGTAAGAGTCAGCGAGCAAAGATGGTTTACCGACCCCAGGCGAGCGGAACCGCGGAAGGAAAGGACCAAATTTTGACAAGCTTTATCAAGATGTATGGATGAGATGTAACACAGCAAGATTGGTACGAATACGCAGAACAGGTGGAGTTCGCACTGAACACTGCACACGGTAGCGTGCGAAAAGAGATACTGTTTTATTTGGCATACGGGTGGGACGCTAGAACCACCCTGGAAGCAACGTTGCCAGTGGTAAACACCAGATGCAAAGGGTCTGGAGCTCGAAGGTGGAGGTATCACATCCAGAGTCACTACCAGCGTGAAAGGGAATAGATGAATGAGCCTTTGTGGTTGGCCTGTCAAGACCGGGTGCTAACTTATAATGAACAAGTGGTCGGTTACAAGATTAGGCCAGGTCTCCAAGTGTGGATCATCCGAGATCGTGTGAAGGAAGAGTACGCCAAAACAATGGCTCACTTCTGGCATGGTCCGTTTAGAGATTTAGAGTTGGTCGGTGTATATGCTGCTCGGTTGGAAGTAAAAGATGCAAAGCACAGATAATTCCTAATCTTTCGCATGATCAAGCTGAAAAGGATCAGGGAGTTCCCTGATCGCCCATGTGACCGGCTGACAGTGGACGAGGCCGACCGGATCGACTTTAATGAATGCTTGTTGCCGAAGTATAGCTGGACGCGCGAACTGGCGAAAGGCGAATACGAAGTGGAAGAGATTTTATAAGGCTGTGTCAGCAAGAAGACGCGTTGCGGTCGGCAACGGCGCGAGTTCTTAATCCGTTAGAAGGGTCATGCAGACCCCTCATAGGTTCGACGAAGTTTATTTGAGTTGTGGATCTATATTACAAGAGTTGGAACGCAACGTGATAAACTGTAACCATTTCGATTTGATGCAGAGTCACGAAGACTAATCGTGTGAAAGGAAACCAGTCGCCCGTTAGTACGCCTGGTCGCCTGTGGATCGGTTATGACCTCCGAGAGCGACCCAAAATTTTAAGACAAACCAACGCTATGTAGAAGTCAACCAAGACTCAATCGGAATGACTAAGTGTATTTAAAGGTATACCGTTGTTTATCTGGAGTCGGCCACAACTTTTCATGGCTAACCAAGGCAGTGCAACACTGGCTGACAAAGGAAAACATCTGTCAGAATGGCCTATGAGCAACGAACGGACAATGTCGTTGTTAAACAGATTGAAAGCATGGTGATATAAGCGATTAATGCTACGAAGGATGAAAGAATTTTGTTCTGATGTCGAGAGGCCTTGATTGCCCCATTATACGATCGAATAATACCTCCTTGTATCACATTTTGTACGCTGAATGAAGAAACCCGCTTTTGTTGTTCCGTCTTGCTGATACTAAGAAGGTTTAACGATCCTCGTGGCCAATATTTTACTTCATTCAAATGCATCTGCTTCATCTTATTTTTTTGCTGACTTCTTGAGGAATTGGCAAGGTGACTCTTTATACACCTATCTTTTTCTCGCCTGTCCAGTTATAAATGCGATTTCGACTTATCAATTTTGTCAACACGTCACGTGCAATGCACACATATATAGTGCTATCACAGCACATCATCCTTTTACGTAGGTCTATAGAACGCGTCTGAATCACTTTCATGTCGACCAGCGAGGAGAATTCATTTTAAATGTTATCATTGCTATTGCTTTGGTCAAACTTACTTTTCATAAATGTCAGTGTATTGCTTGAAGATATTGATGAAGTCTTCTGACTGTTACCTGTGTCTTCCTTGCCCTTATTCTTTGTCTTGAATCATCCCACTTGCTTTTTTTGACATCGTTTTGTTTATAATACCTGCAGTTTCTATGTGCACGACCAGTCTTACCATAATTGAAACATCTAATCGTTCCTCAAATACAAGTGCTTTCACCATACTAAAACGAAAAGCTTACAGTCACTACTACGTCCCTTTTGATCTACAGTGGCTTGCTCTATGCACCACCTCAGTGCATCATGTGATCTGTTGCAGTGTATGTGGGTTTTTCTTGTCGGGGGGTCCTAAAAACATGCGACTCGCCTAAGAAACAAGTGTACAGCCGCAAAATTAGTGGATGGCCTAAAAGATGTTAATAGCCTCTAAAAACAGGATTTGTGCGTACATATTTCTCTGGACCTAAAATACAGCAGCCCCCTTTTTCGATTTATTGACATCCTTGCGTCCACGGACCTTCCTTTAAAACCCATCCTTCGAACACTAAATAGATTACACTACTTGAGCTTCCTCTATTCCTCTTTCAGCAGAATATTATGACAGCTTAGAGCTGGCAAAGGAAGCTGCTCACGCGTGTGCATGAGAAAAGGGCTTTGCTATTGCTGCACCAAGGTCAGCCAAATGGGGGCATCCTCCAGATGTGAGAAAGGCGTGGATGCGCTGCGCACAGGGAGGATTCATTGCACTCGACCATCTGGAGAATCAGCTCTCCGACAAAGGGCAACAAAAAGACTGGCGTGTACTTATGTGTTCATTCTTACAATAATACACATAAAAGTGGGCCATGGAGACTATCCATGATATCCACGATGGCCTTTCGTGCCGTATCACAAATGAGAAAATGGGATTATTACCTTTCGCTCGCCAAGTGCATAGAACGGTATCCGTTGTGGATCAAATGTAAAAACTTCACGATGATAATGCATCTTGGAGTGTAACTTAAGGGTCCATTAAAGAAGAATGTCCCGATTACCAGGATGAACTTAGGATACATCATCGCAATGGAGGACACCGAGAAACGGTGTACCCGCATCGGTAAATATGATGGAGAAGCTGAAAGTTGAACCAGTTGTTTCAACTGTCATCCTAGACGTTCACAACCGATCTACGCTCATGCTCTTCCAGCCAAATCCAATGATAGAGTTCGCACGGCGATGATTCAGCGGTCATGTTGGGAACCTTCTTATTAATTGCACATGCAATACAAACGATTACAGGGTGCCGTGATACACGTTGTTGGTGTCACGGCCAAGACTCAATCGTTTTTACTTCATTTTACTTTCATGCCCGGGAACAGCCAAAAGATAATTTGTGGGCGATCAGAGAGGTCAATCAAAGTCTTTGTGGAAGTGATCCTGAGATGGCGGTGATAAAACAAGAAATAGCACTCATTTCGGCTATGAGAAAGCATGGCCTCAGCCGTTTACGAAGATCGTTCTTTGCATGTGATATATAATGAAGAATATTAGCACAAGTTCCAGAGGGAATTTCCAGCGGAGCGTGAAATTCGACCGAATTGGCCATTGCAATAACAGAGGTGGTAGAAGTGTCAAATTTATTACCAACTACAAATGGGTGGAGTTTATGCGAGGATGAGGGACTGTTGTTAACACATCAAAATCCCAAGAGGTTTATTTCCGTTGGCAAAAGCTTAAGGACAATGACTTCATACATACAGAGACTATGATTTACCTGGAGAACAACTAACTACGGTTTAAGGAGCAGTTCGCATCCTGTTATATCGACCAGTAAATGCATGGAGTCACTTCTTGTCTTGAAGGATTGCGTTGGGCAAGTATTAAATTTAGCCTGCGATACGCTAAATGAAGCGTTTTGGATGCATACGACCAAATCGAGAAATTGTGGATCTGCGACAATAAGACATCTTTTATCATTTTGAGAAGGAGCAGACATAAGGACTGTTGCGTTTGCCTCATTTGTTTGCCTCTCTTTGCCGACATATTTCATGCCACACGCTTTTTCAAGTTAAAAGGGAGATACGATGCAGCAATCCGACGAAGCTAACGAGTCAGGACGGAAAATGATGCTTTTGTTGGATGCACAGGATACCATCAACGTGTCTACGATATCCCTTGCTCGCACAAAATACTGCGGTACTTCGAGGAAATGTAGTAATCTCTGTTGACCAATTTCATCAGCGATGGCATTTGAGTATTCCTATTGCGGGAGTTGAAATATAGGCACGCCTAACACGAAATTTGAAGCCTATAAGATCCATGATCACGAGGACTACCTTCTGCCTCTCATGCGCCGACTACGAGAAGGGATCCTGTCGCTTTCAAGACAGTGGAAAGACTGATTCAGTTGCCACTTTCCTACACTATTATTTCAAGGTCTGCGGCAGCCTACACATACAAATCCGATTCATACATTTGAGATCGGAAAACGGAGATCGTATTGTGCGTCCACCTGTGTCCTAGTGAATCCCGCATTAGCCTTATTTAACTTTCGAATTAGCTTAGATGTAGAAGAATGACCCAAGCGTGAAATCAAGCGTAGCAGTATCTCGCTTGCGCATTTTCTATTAGAATACTCTAATTCCTTTTACGACCATGCGTCAATGCAATTGCTACGTAAAGGCGTAGAGGAACAATAACAACAGTTTCACTTTTGAGTAAATTTAGTGATATTGCATAATCTTGATATAGCCACCACTCCTCAAAAGTAGAAATAATCGCTCCTCCCCCAACCAATTTAAAGTTTAATCCGGCTAAAAAAATGTCTGGATGAACGCACTCGCTACTTACGGGCTGCCCCAAAATTTACTTTTACTCGACAAAACGTAGATGATTCTAAAAAATGGTTAAATGCTAGTTTTGGTGTGCCTACTTTCTTATAAAGTCATCAGTTCATTTAAATTTGTGGTGGAGTGGGATGTCAAAACTGTTTGACGAGACCCCAAACCACTCACTGGGCCGGACTGCCGACTGTCGGAGGGGTTCTCCAACGCCCCTAGTGGACCTGAACCACCTTGTTTACCCGTCGGCTTGGCGGGTTTCACTCTTTGGAGGACTTGGTGCCGAGTGTAGACGTCGGCCTTGATGGATGTCGACCTGGGGGGGCAAGCGGATATGCTTCAGTCGGGTTCCAATTAGGCGGTCACTCGATCGACTTGGTCGAGAGTGGTCTTATAACCAATCGTCTTAGGTGCTGGTGGAGCCTGGCCTTTACTTGTCTCAGGGGTGTTAGCCGCCTGGCCTTCATGTGTCTTTTACCTCATCATTGGGGTATGGGGACCGCTTCCTATAGCGAGCTCGAGCTGGGGGGGGTGCAACTCTACGAACCCACAGGCCAATGTACTTCCTGCTGTTCTACTTACGCTTGTGTCTTACTGAAGACTGTCTATTCGACGGGTGAACCGAACAGATCCCTGGCCCGGAACAGGTCGGTAGACTTACAAGTATCTTAGCGCACGACACGTCGTGCTACTTAGATCGCGAATTGATTAGTCTTTGATCTAATTTTATACTTTATCCTACTTTACTCTATTTTTGCCTCGCACCTGGGTTCGCAATGATGAGTGGCTAGGAGCCACCAGAAATTGAGGGACCGATTTGAACTATGAGTGACCAGGTCGGCCTACGGGAAACCGTGATCCACCTTGGACAGCCAGGCCGACCGACGAGTGGTTTGGGAACGATCCGTATCGGTAGCGTTTAACTGGTACCGTCGGTCGATGTGACCCCGCTAGTGATAACCCTAACCACACGTCACGGTTGGACCCAAAGCCTACTCTGTCATTGAGCTTCCAGGTCTATGGTCTCCTTCCCAGCCGTGGGGTCTCATTTCCATCCGGCTCCTCGACTCCTATGTCCATCATTGTCGAAAAGTTGCTTCACCACAGCCGCCCCTTGCCCTTGGCCGACCGTACAGCGGTCTGAGCACGAGCATGTCTTCAACACGCCAGTCCCGTAAGTCTCTTGCTCTTGTGGACGAAATGTTTTGAACTTTTAACCAATGTGCTTGCA